ATATATATATATATATATATATATATATATATATATATATATATATATATATATATATATATATATATATATATATATATATATATATATTTATATGTGTATATAAAATATTGAAGGGATAGTTGAAAAAGATAAAAAAAAGAATGATATAATTTTTTTCATTTTTTATTTAATTGTTATTTAAAAAATTTTTATTTATTTTACTACGTACAAATATTTATGAACTAATTTTTTATTAATTATAAGAATAAATATATATATATATATATATATATATATATGTATGTATATATATTTACAATAGATTCTATAAAAATTGCAAGGTAAAAAAAAAAAAAAAAAAAAAAAAAATATTGAAAAACAAAAATACTTAAAAATTAATTTTTTTTAATAAATTAAAAAAATATTAAAATTTTTATTTTTATTTTAATAATAGTAACAAAATTTTTGTATATAAATAATTTTACTCCAAAGAAGAAAAAATATATAGAATTTTATTAATTTGAATATATAAATATATATATATTGAAGTAAAAAATATAAATTATATTAGATTGTTTTATTTTATTATAATATATACATATATATGTGCATTATTTTTTTTTAAAAAAAAAATTTAAGAGCTCTTTAAAGTTAATATATTATAAAAAAAATGAACAACAGTGAAGAAAATATTAATTTAAATATGGGAAAAAAAAAGTATGGAAAAAATACAGTAATTAAAAATATTGAAAGATCAGATAAAGAAAAAATAGGAGATAATAATGACGTAGATATAGATAAATATTACAATAAAAATTCAGCTGATAACTATAATGAAAAAAATATACTGAAAAAAACAAAAGATGAAGAAGAAAATGAAGTAAAAAAGGGTAAAGATAAGCATTATGAATCAGAGATAAAGAAAGATATAGAAAAAGAAGATGAGAAAAAAAGAAAAAATAAAAAAAAAGTAATGAATGAAGAAAATTTAGAAGCAGAAAAAAAATTTCTTCTTAATGAAAATAAAGATATTAAGACAAAAGAAGAAAATACAGAAAATAATGAAAAAGAAAAATGTGATAAAATTTTAGAAAAAAAAAAGAGAATGGAAACAGATAAAAATGAGACGATTTATACTGGTAATAATAGTAATGAATGGAGAAATCATAACAGTGAAAATATAAAGAACGGTATAATGTATCATTCAAAAAATAATAATGTAATTGGTGCAGATAATAAAGAAAAGCAAAATGAATTTAATTATTCTAATAAAGATTTAATCAAAAAAAGAAATTCTAACAAGAATGAAAATGCAAATTTAGAAAATAATTATAATAGCATAAATAACTATTCTAATAAAAATAGTTTTAAATATGATTATAAAAATAATAAAAATTATAATATAAAATCAAATAAAAATTATAAAATCCCCTTAATTAATAATAACAGTACTCTAAATTATAGTGAGTTTAATCCTAATGAAACATTAATTGAACCAATTAATAATATGTGTATATATAACAACACACCAAATTACAATTATTTGACTAATTATTCTTGTAATTACCCATATAATTATTATATTGATGAAAACGATAAAAATATAGAATTACCAAATTACTATACACCTAAAATGTATGGAGAAACGTATAATGAAAATAATTTTGATGTTAGATATAATTACAATATGATTAATGATTTTTATAATTATTTTCCTCTTAACTGTTATTATTACAATTTTAGTAATCATTATTTTGGAAACTCAAATTTTAATAACGGGAATAATATGTATCATGATAATTTAAAAAATAGAAAAAATAAAAAATTTTTATATGATAAAAATAAAAAGAAAAATTTAAAAAATATTAATTCATCCAATGTATATAATGAACTTAAAAGTAGAGTTATAGAAATATTTAAAAGAGAAAACATGATGTCAGATGATTATTTATTATATTACATGTATAATAATATAAAATTAAATTTTGATGTAATAGCTAAGCATCCATATATATCTCCATTAGTTAATAATAATACTAACATATTAGTTAATGTTCTAAACGATTTAAAATATATTAACCTGAATAAAAAGGAAAAAGAAAAGGAAAAGGAAAAAGAAAAAGAAAAGGAAAAGGAAAATGAAAATGAAAAAGAAAAAGAAAAACTGAATGTGGATAATAATAGTAATAATAACACTATAAATTCGAATGACAATATTGATAGTAATTCAAATGATAAAAGTAATACTTCAAATAATACATCAGTAAAAAATGATGTTAATAAAAAGAGTATTAATGATAAAGTAAATTTAAAAAAACATCAAAACTCAAGCGAAAATAAAAAGTGCTTTGAAGAAAAAGAGAATAGTAGTGCTATAATAATTGAAAAAACAGAAAAAAATGATGAAGATAAAAGAGAAAATTTAACTGTTAATATAAATAATAATACAAATATTTTTAATTCAAAAGAATCTTCATTATCTACAGATAAGATAAATAATTCAGAAGGAAAGAAATTATTAAAAGATGATAATAAATTAAAGAATAAAAACGATAGTGATAACTCAAATAATAAAAATGCTGTTAATAATAAGGAATATATAAAAGATAACAATAAGGATAATGAAAACATTACACAAAATGAGGAAAATTATGAAGAAGAAAAAAAAAAAGAAATACATTTAAATAAATTCAAAAATAATGAAGTTAAAAATGATAACAAAAACATCATTAATAAGAATGAAATTGTAGATGTAGGTGATATTAAAAAAGAAGATAATATAAAAGATGGAAATAAAGTAAATGAAGATGTTTTTAAGGGAAATCATATTATTAATGAAGAGAATGTTAATAATGAAAATGAGTTTAATGAAAAAAAAAAAAAAAAAGATGAATTTGTAAATAATGAAGAAAATATTACAAAAGAAAATAAAAATAAAAGTAATAAAAGCAAAGGTGGTGAATTAATTAGTAATCCTAAATTAGTGTTTGAAGAAGATAATAAAAACTTTTTATTAAATTTAAATAATAAAAGAAATATTATAATTATTAGAGATATAAATTCACATTATATTAATACTATAAAAAGCATTGTTTTAAATTGTCCAAATATCCAGTCGAATGATTTGTTAAATATTAGGAATGATATAAACAACACAATATTTATTACTTTAAGGAGTGAAAAGAAAACGGAAATATTAGCACAATATTTAAAAACAAAATCTGTAAATGATAAAAAGTTAAATGTTAGAATAAAAACAACTCAAAAAATTCAAAATATAATTGAAAATAATATTTTCAAAGGAGGAAATAACAGTGCATCTAATAATAATAATATTAATAATAATAATAGAAACAATAATAATAATAATAGTAGTAGTAGTACTACCACTACGCCTACTACTATCAATAATAATCATCTAAGCATGATAAATAGTAATGTTACTCTAAATCCTAAATCACCATTTAATTTTAATAATTTATATTTTATCCCTAACACTTTAAGTAGCTACGATAATATATATGGGAATACCAATCATAATAATAGTACTAATTTAGATTCTTATTTAAATTATTACAATTATAATGTTAATAGTTCCTACAACTTATTTTCGAATATAAATTCTTGTGATTCATATAATGCATATAATATTTATAATAACTCATATGGAGTAAATAATGATTTAAAAAATAAAAATATGTATAATAAAGGAATGAAATACGGAAGAATAGATAATATTGTTAGATCTAATGACAACTATAATAATATGGGATATTATTCTAATGCTTATAATAATCATAATCATACATATAATGTATACCAGGAAAATAATAATAACAAAAATGAGAATTTCGCAGAGGATTCAAAAAAATATCAATTAGACAATATGAATGATAAAAACTCTTATGGTAATCGAATAAATAAGAACTCAAAAGGAGATGTAGATAATAAAATTATGACTACTGCTACTACTATAAGTACTACTAGCAATAGTACAAGTAAGTATAATAACACTAGTAATAGAAATAGTAATAATACTAATAATAATAATACTAATAATAATACTACTACTATTACTACTACTACTACTAATAATAATAATACTAATACTACTACTAATAATAATAATACTAATAATAATAATAATAATAATAGCAATAATAGCGTTATTAATAGTAGTACTACTACTACTAATAATAGTAATAATAATGATAATAAAGATAATAATGATAATAATGATAATAATGATAATAATGATAATAAAGATAATAATGATAATAATGATAATAATGATAATAATGATAATAATGATAATAATGATAATAAAGATAATAATAATAATAATGATAATAATGATAATAACAACAACAACAATAATAACAACAATAATAATAATAATAATAATAATGATAAGAATAATAATAACAACAACAACAACAACAATAATAATAACAACAATAATAATAATAATAATAATGATAAGAATAATAATAATAATAACAACAACAATAATAATAATAATAATAATAATAATAATAATAATAATAATAATAATAATAATAATAATAATAATAATAACAATAATAATAATAATAATAATTCTACCACTGCTGGTAATAAGAAGAAAAATTTAATGAAAATAAATGATTTTAATAAAATCCCCAAGATAAGATATAACAAAAAAGAATCATTAACAAAATATGATACGTTTTCTATTAAAGCTGATCCAAAATTATATGATAGAAAGAATGGTAAAACATATTACAACAAAAAGAATAATAAGAATGTAGATAAAAAAGTTGATTATATAGGTGAAGGAGATAAAGAAAAAAAAAAAAAAAATGAAGGAAAAAAAAAAGATTATTTATCATCTGAAGAACTTAGTGATCCAAATAAATTAAAAGAGGAAAAAAAAAGAATGAATTCAAACTTAAAAAGTGAAGAAAAAAATAATGTAGTTGATCAACAAACTAATAAAGAAAATGAAAACGATAATGAAAACCAAGAAGAAAATGATAAAAAAAAAACATATAAAATGGAAAAAAAAAATAAAAAAGAAACATATAGCAGAAACGATTATTTTTTTAATAATGATTCAAAAGAATATTCAAAAAATACCAAAAATATTTCGAGAAAAATTTATAATAATAAGTACTTTTTAAATAAAGAAAAAAATTCATCAAATTTTGAAGAAAAAAAATCATTTAAAAATAAAAATAAAATTGATGATAATAATAACACTAATAATAGCATAAATCTAAATACTCAAAATTTAAAGAAATATTCTTATATGGATATAATGGATTCTTGTAAAAAATTAACAAATGTAGAAGCCCCTGAATGTATAGATAAATTAATAAAAGAGAATGTTTCCCTTTTTAGAAAACATGACGATCAATTTTGCTGGAAATTAAATGTGTTCTAAAATAAAATTCAAAAAAAAAAAAAAAAATAGTATATAAACTATTTCAACTTTTCTTTATATATATATATTTTTATTTATTTATTTTTTACTTTTTTTTTTTTTTTTTTTTTTTTATATAAATTACCTAAATATTTATGCATATTTTTATACATTTAAATAAATTAGTTTTTATGATACTATTTTTATATAAAAAGACATTTACATATTATCGATTATACACATTAATCATTAAAACATGAATTTTCTCTTATGTTCATTTTTATGTTATTCCTTTTTATATATATATATAAAACTTATTATTATTTATTTTTATTTTTATATATTTTAATTTATTTATTATTATTTCATTTTTATTTTAATTTTTCACTTTATAAGTAGTGTCTATTTTTTAAGGATCTTTAATTCCTTTTATTTTTATTGAATCTTTCTTTTTAAAATAATATATACTATTTTCATGTTATTTTTCTTAATTTATTTTTATTACTTTTATTTATGTTGTTTCTAACTTATTTTTATTATTTTTGAATCTA